ATTTTTAATTTTTCAGTAAACAAAAATATAAATGTATAAACATATTTTAGAGTGTATAACGCTGTTTTCCATGCGATGTCGTCGATGTCACCGCCATCGTCACTCGGTGGTTACCATCTATAATATGTAAGATTATCCAAAAATTTGTTATGCCATTCACGAAATTTGGCTTCTTTATCATCCTGAATCGGTAACATCTCTCGATCTGCAGACGTCGGATTAGAATGGCATCGATTAAATTATTATTATATACCTATCCCTCCACACATGCATGGCATGACTGTACCCGAGTTTACGCACGATAATGTTAATTAAGTCGAGTTAACGGTAACAAATATAGACCGCAATGGGGATCGGATTAAAAATAAAACCATTATGTAAGAAGACTAGCCCGGTATAGACCGGAGGGGTACAGGAGGAGTGAAAAAACATTCACTTAACGTTGAGTTTGGAATACTTTTACTTTTCGGGGGGGGGAAATATAATCTGCGGGGAGGGGGAAAAAGTAAAAGTGAAGACTAGGTATAGACCGGAGGGGTACAGGGAGAGTGAAAACGAGGACTACGGAGGACTAGGTATAGGCCGGAGGGGTACAGGGGAAGTGAAAGTAAGGACTATGGAGGACTAGATATAGGCTGGGGGGGTAGAGGGGAAGTGAAAGTGAGGATTTTACCCCTCATCAGAAAGAACCAATTCCCTCTACTTAGGTCATTACCATCGATGTCAAAATTAAATTTTTCTAATATTTGATAATTCATTACTATTCTTAAAATTTTCTCCGGGGGGGCTCAGCCCCCCCGGAGAAATGCCTGAAAGAAACACTGACATCCAGTCTGCTCCGTTAACATGGCGTCTCGGTGGTGTTTCGGCAATAGCGCCCGGCCCTGATGGGGTTGTGCTTGTGGTACATGTGTAGACCACCCAAGGCACACTTTTAAGAACTGTTTTCAAAATAGTTGTTTTGACAACCGATCCTTGAAGTCCTCAATGTCACACCTTTTCTGTCGTTTCAATGCAACTAATTAAATTAAATTATTTATTTGTTTTTTAATTATTTGGGTTTTTTGTCTACTAATTACTGTTTGTTAAAGTTGAGTTATTTAAATTATTATTTTATGTATGTATTTATTTTTTTTTTTTCATTTTATAATACGCTCAATGCCCACACCCTTTAAAAGTTCATAAATAAGAACCACCCTAGTTTATACACAAAATAAAAAAGCCCACATGACGGGAGAACCAATTCTTTCACTTTGCATCGAAGCTAAAATATTTTCTGGATTTTTGTGTAAAAGACATCATAAGTGGTCTAATTATATATTATTGGGGTTGGTGATTACGAATTTAATATCAGTTTTCAATTTTAATCAACCAAATAAAAAAAATAAATATAAAAAATAAATTAAATTAAAACCCAAAAATTGAACTTGAGAATCAAAACTTAATAGTATCAGTCTGCATAGAACTACATGAAATTGTTGTTGACAAATTTTTAACTTAAAGGTCTTAAAATTACGGCTAAAATACCCACCACAAAAAAAAAATCTTGTACCCCCCTTGGGAGGTGGTAACTAGGTACAAATTAAATTTGATACAACTGACGTGTGCCCGCATACCTAATAAATATTCCTTAAAAAATTTCAACTCATACCGACTCTTTTTCTCGAAATTATAGCCAGTAAAAATTAAAAACTCGTATGGTTTTTTTTTTCAAATTTTATCAATGAAGAAGTAAACTTTTTCAAATTTTACCTCCCAAAGTACCAACTAGATGAAATTTGCGATTTGTAGAGTTGCTACTCGAAGTAATTGGTTCAGTATTAAAATAATTCTGGCTCGAGACAGTTATATTGTCTAGCTTTATAACTATAATAAACAGGTTGATAGCCTGAACGCAACGTACTAACACTATTAAAAAAACAAGAGCCGTACTTTGGCTTCCTCGGGAGTTGCGGTCTTTATTTTAATACTCTAATTGTTAAAGAACACTGAGTTTTAATTACCTTTAAAGAGATGGGAGAAAAGATAACACTTTTAAAATTAACCCATTTCCGGATGTATTTATTTTATGGTGCGCGTACGCACTATTGTCCAGAAATGGGTTAGGTAAAAAAACAGTTTAGTGTAGTTTTGTTTTGGCTGTTGGGTCTACATTTAATTGCTTATTCGCTAATTTACATTTGTCTTTAAGAACTATACTACAGGTGAGCAAAACATGGTTTAGTCAATGATTTGATCGATATTTCAAAAATCTCCAATTTAGGATAGGCTCTGCCAAATCTCAAAAGAGTAATTTATCTAAAGCACTCTCCCCTCCCCACAAAAGACCCTTTTAGATTCTCAAATATGGTTAATTGGAAGTGTTTACAAATTGGCCAATTATCACAACAATAACTTTCGACGGAAATAATATGATGAACTCATCTATTTTTGTATACCAGGCAATAAATCGCGTTACAAACACTATCTGTGGCGTTTAACCTGTCCAAAATAACTAATAATATTATGTTAATAATATATAAAAAGGATTACCCACGTTAAGTTACATGTATTTGGATGGCTTATTTTATTCAACATTTTCTATAATACAAGTAAAAACCGTAGTTGTACGGTTCATGGAAATCACATTATACCACTCCGGTACTTTTGAACACGGTATAATTAATAGGTACTAAATGTAAAGACGCTAATGTTATATTGATCATTTGCATTTTTTTTTATTAGTGGTATACAGGTATTCAGAAAAGGTGTTGATTTCCAATAACTGAGTAGTATTTAAAATCATATGCAAAACACCTAACAAATCATGATTACAATTACGATTGTTTTTCTCCGTGGAAATAAAAACAAAAAATTTTTCAGTTCAATGGCGACACGTTTTTCTTTCTCACGTAAGGTGGTATTCAAATTTTGATCAGTCATAAAAAAAACTGTTTCTCTAATTTACAATGTGTCCCGAATTAACCGTCTTCAACCGTGGACCATGACTCTCAAAGTAAATAATTGAAATTGAAACTAAAAAATTCTAAGCCTAACTATATATTCATAGTTTCGAACACTCAGGACGATCACAGGATTTTTTAACACCCTTTGTATATATTTTTAACGTTTTACCGTACACAATGGTACATACTTACCATGGTAAGTCTTGAGTTTTTATTTGTATGCAAAGTAAATAAGATAATCAAATAAACTGTTATTTGTGAATACTAGGCAATAACAAGTTTTATATTTTGGAAAAATATCAATACAAGTCAGTTTCAAACAGTTGAAGAAAATATAATTGATCAAGACGAAACCATACTATTTTGTAAAAAAACAATACACTTTAACCCATTCCCGTAACGATTATAGAGAGCTCTTGGAACTAATTATTATTTATCTTGGTGATGTACCTTCTAGAGGTATAAAGTTTTTGCAGCCAGGAGCTTTACATCGTGCGCGATGGATGGCACGTGCGATTTATGTCATAAAAATATGTTTATTTAAAAACCAATTTAAGACAACCAAAAAGGTATTAAGTGGAATGAAAAGGTTCTCATTATTTATGTCTACTATTGGTTTAAAGCTCCCTGTGCCGTATCTGCCCCTGCTAATGATTTGAATTTATTAAAACAGCTGTCTTCATATCCAGATAAAGATGTAGCAACAGCGGGATGTGTGGTTTTTTTGAGACATCAATGGTATTTATCAAACCTACTTGTATGTTTATCATTTTTTGATCCTAATATATCGAGTAAAATTAAAAGAGAAATAGTGGTAGCTTTGAGTACACTCAGAACATTCATTTCAAAATAGAATTAAAATAAATGTATCTGATTCATCTTTTACTGAGAAGACCGTAGCTGATTTTGTAAACAAAGAGTCAATTGATTTTTTTAAGATATTAAATATACCGGTTGAATTTCTTAAAGTAGATCCGGACAATTGGGAAGAAAGAGAAGATTTTCAGTTGGGAGCAAATATTGTTCGTAATATGAAAGTAGTCAATGATTTTGCTGAAAGAGGAGTGGCCCTTATTTAAAATTACAACAATATACTGACGAAAAATGAAGACCAAAAACAATCCTTATTACAAGTTTTTGAAGATCACAGAAAAAAGTTGTTTGTAATATTTTTTTTTTTTTTTAGCTCAATTAAATAAATCTGGCTATAACAATTGAGTAGTGCATCCAACTATTTAAGTATATATCCTAACATCATTTTTATGTGCAATTTAATTTTATATAATTGATTTAAATAATATTTGATCAATCTTCAAGTTTTCGGAAAATAAAGTAAAGTAACTATAAAAATATCAATTTGGCTAAATAAATGTAATCATTAATAATTTGTTAATTTTCTTTAAATGTAATGGATTTACGAAAAATTATGTAAGAACATATTTTATAGACATTTGTATGCTTAATAATTAATAATATACATTTTTGTGATAAAAGCATTAGATTTTGAAATAAATTGAAAAATCTATAAAACTACCCTTTTGGTAATTTTTCAACTCTCTTGTGCCAAGTGAATGGGGTCAGTTATCGCAGTCAAATTTAACATACATTACTTTCTTGTTTATGGTAACAAAATGAGGGGGTAAGAAATTAAAAATTGTTATTTTTTTTTTCGTCTATGAAAAAGGACCACTCTAATATACAACATACGTTACAGTTATAACAGTAGTCGTAATAGAGTGGTAAATCCAATACCTTAATACTATGTCTTACATATGATATAATCTAGGTTACAAATGTAATTGGTCCTTGTATAAAACAATTTTTAAATATTACTCAATGATTTCTATAGTGTTCACATATAATACCATATAAGGTTATATTATATTTATTACTTATAACATACTTATATTCTATGACCCAAATAGACAATATTAATTATATTCAATAGGACTTTTCATTCGCTCCGAAATGACATAAACTTTTGCAAACTTGTATTTTATGTTTAAGGTTATGTAAATAAAAATGTCATTGTACATATGAAAAATAATTTTGATTTGTGTTTTATATAAATCATTGAATGACATTATACTGAAGTGCACGGCATTTGTGTTTTGTGAGGGTGCATTTGAGATAATATGACTTTAAGCATACAGTGCATTTATAAGCTTTTCTCCGGTGTGCACCACGCGTTGGTGATTTATAAGGGAATATTTTGTAGAAAAAGTATTTGAGCATATATTACATTCGAAAGGCTTTACACCGGTGTGCACGCGTCGGTGTTGTGTGAGGTTACTATTTTGAGAAAATGATTGTAAACACACTTCACATGTGTAGGGCTTTTCCCCGGTGTGCACTCGTTCGTGCCTTGTGAGGGTGGATTTGACAGAAAATGACATTGAGCACACAGTGCATTTATAAAGCTTTTCTCCGGTGTGCACGCGTTGGTGGTATGTGAGGTTAATATTTTGAGAAAATGATTGTAAACACACTTCACATGTGTAGGGCTTTTCCCCGGTGTGCACGCGTTCGTGTTTTGTGAGGGTGCATTTGAGAGAAAATGACTTTGAGCACACAGTGCATTTATAAGGCTTTTCTCCGGTGTGCACGCGTTCGTGTTTTGTGAGGGTGCATTTGAGAGAAAATGACTTTGAGCACTCAGTGCATTTATAAGGCTTTTCTCCTGTGTGCACGCGTTGGTGAAGTGTGACGTCACATTTATAGGGTTGACTGATGTTGTCCGTTGAACTTTGATGGGATTTTAATATATGTAGAGTTATTTGTTTTTTTGTGTTATATATTTTTTGACATAAATTACATTGGAAGAATCGCCATGTTGTTATATATTTACTATTGTTCTTGGTTTCTGTCTGTTGATTGTTATCTGTTTCAATCTTCGATTCGAAATAACTACCGTCAGTTTTTTTATCCACTTCATTTCTCGTACCATTGTCACTACAACAAAACATTGTCGAACAATAAATTATAAATTTTTGAAAAAATATATTCTTTACACAATTGCTTATTATTATTATAAATTTTAATTTGACCTTAGTAGATGTATTGAATGTACAAACCATTACTAATGACTAATTGGACATACTTAAAGACATTAAAAGGAACTAAATCGCAGAATATTGGAAGGACAAATTGAAGGCAAGAGAGGCAAAGGACGTCAGAGAACAACGGTATTCAATAAAATTAATAAAGATGCTGGACTGAGAACTTAAAGGGAACTGAAAAGAGACTGGCCAATAATAGAGAAGAGTGGAGAGAGTATGGAAGGTTAGGCAACATATTTTATTGTTAGTTCCAAAAAAAAAAATGATTTTATTTTAATAATAAATAACATACAATATATAAATTATCTGAATCCAAAATTAGCATAGTTAATACATGGGAAATGATTCTAAACTAAATCGGAAAAATTATTTCCCTGAACTGCTGACAAATAAAATAGAAATAATGCATAACAAACTAACCTAAGAGGCCGCCAAACCATAATTTTATTAAGAAGTAAAATTTCATCAAACAATTTTTTTTGGTTGAAATACTGTGAAATTTTAAGTGAACAAAAGCCAAAATTCATTCAACATTGAAAAAATGAAAAGTTGAACTATGTATAAAGTAAAATTACTAATAAACTAAAAAACGAAAAAACGACAAATTAAAATAAATAAGTCTCGTCTACTGCCTCAACACTTTAAAACATTAATATTCTTAATCCGGGAGCCTAACTAGTAAAAGACCTGTTTCCCTAACAGACCAAAACCAAAAAAAAAAAAAAAATTAGGTAGTTTTTTCTTTAGATTCAGTCTACATAGTCAGTCCGCTGTGAGTGCTTTTGATAGCAAAACTACTCAAAAGTGTATTTCTTCTAAATATTGTATAAAACTGAAATATGTACATCAATAAGTACTGTTTAAATGTTTACTAGATAAGAAAAATTAATGAACAGCTAGAATTTAATTATGTGAAAGAAGACATACATAATAAATGCCGCCAATGTAAACTGAACCAAACGCTTAGCACCTATCTACCCATGGATAACTCAAGAAATATTGATTTTGAACAAAAAAACATATACAGACAAAAAGAGACTTGTAACAATACCGAAAAACATAAAATATTAAAACACCAAATCAAACGGTTTAAATGGCAAAGCCTATAGTTTAAAAATATATATTTTTACATAGTCGTTACATACTAATGTAATACACTTTTTTAGAAAATATGTTTTGATATTAAAAAGGGCCTTACTTGAATTTGTTTTCCACATCTGTTGCAATTGAACATTCATCATTCATAGGAATACCATTGTGCGATGTTGTAATATGTTTCAATTGCTTTTTGGATGTAAACGAATCTAAATACAAATCGCATTTTTCGTCAGCCAAGTTGTTTGTAACTTGCACGTTCATAGGTATCATTTCTTCATCTTGTATCGACGATTCAAGGCAATAATCTACCACTTCATCGGATTCATTTTTAACATTAATCCCCTTGATTATATCGTTATCTCTACAAGAAAAAAATAACAAGTGTTATAGTTTTTTTTTTTTTAATATAAAAATGAATTATATTTTACGTAATAATACTTAAATGAAACAATAAATATCAACACAATAGTAAATCATTTTACCAAATCAATTATACAAATTGCAAATCTTACAATAGGCAAATCAACCGCCAAAAACATAAAACCCAAAGTACATTGGTGGAACCAGAGCATAAAATCTGCACTTGAAGACAAATATAAGGCATTAAAACAATTCCAACTTTCTAAAACCCAAGAAGACTTCATAGAACTAAAAAAACTCAGAGCAAAAACCAGATACTTAATAAAAACCAGTAAAAAGAAATCATGGGAAAACTTCACAAACAGTATAAATGAAAAATCAGACACAAAAATCGTATGGAACAAATTTCAATCATAAAAAGGACTCAATAGAACCCGCAAAATAAACCTTATAGACACAAACACCGACTCATTAAGTAACGAAGAACTAGTAGCAAACCAATTGGGGGAATATTTCTATCAAAACAGCAGCAATACTAATTACAAAACCCAATTTCAAAACTACAAACATAAATGTGAAATGGAAACTATCCCAAACAATCTAGACCAAAATCAAATGGACCAAATTCAATTAAACATACCAATCACTATGCAAGAACTCACATACACTCTATCCAAATGTAAAAGCCGAAGCCCCGGCCCCGACAACATACCGTATATTTTTACAGAACTTTGGACCAAATACTTTAAAATTAATATTAGCAATTTTCAATAGAATCTTCACTGAAGGCTCTTGGCCAATTACATGGAAAAATGGTACAGTAATACTAATAACAAAGCAAGAAAAAGATAAATTTAAGCCTGAAGGATACAGGCCAATAACCCTTTTGAACACCATGTGCAAGATATTGGAAAAAATTGTTAACTAACAGATTAATATGGCTACTAGAAAAACATAACTACTTAGCAACGCAACAATGTGGCTTTAGAAAAAAACAAGAGTACAATTGATAATCTGATCCAAATTAATCAGGAAGTAAATCAGACGTTTAAGAATAAGCAAATAATGGGATTAGTTAACCTCGACATATCTAAGGCCTATGACTCCACATGGAGGCATAATATCCTAGTCGAACTTAACCAAATACTATGCAAAGGTAAGACACTTAATCTAATAACCAACTTCCTAAAAGACCGCACTTTTGAAGTCAAAGCGAATAATTACCTTTCTGAAGAACACCACAGACAACATCAAGCTGATTAACTTTTTAAAATCAACAGACCTCTACTACTCAATATAAACAAAAATATATACTTAAGGAATTAATAATATTATCTCTCCTTACTGTTATCACTAGTAGTAGCATTAATTTTGTAAATACATGTATAAAATATTGTAAATAATTAAATTGTAACTGATGACCATAGATGCCAGGTTTTATTTTAAGATCAATAAAAAAAAAAAAAAAATAATAATACTTTAAGTTAAGGCGATCAAGTAAAATCTTGTTTTAATTCAATATTTATATATTATTTATAATGTACACATTATGAAATAATGTTATATAGATGTTAAATTTAAAATCGACTTACTCGAAACAATTATCTACTTCATTTTTAATTGTAATTTCATCGATCTTAGAAATACCATTGTGTGATGTTGTAATATGATGTTTCAGTTGCTTTTTGGATGTAAACAATTCTAAACACAAATCGCATTTTTCGTCAGCCAAGTTGTGTGTAACTTGCACGTTCATAGGTATCGTTTCTTGTATCGACGTTTCAAGACAATAACCTTCCATTTCATCAGATTCGTGTTTAACATTAATCCCGTTGATCATATCGTTATCTTTATGAGTAAAAGAGAAATTTTTTTTTTATACATTAGTTAAGTTAGTGAAGTTAATTTCTAATTTTACTCACAATATAATTACTCTATCAATTACATTTTTACAGTGGCGAGGCATGGGTCTTTAGATCGGGGAGACATTGAAAAAAAAATGGTGTTACGTGACTTGACAGGGGGGCTGCGCCCCCTTGGACCCCCTGTATATTTTATTTTATCTATACTGTTAAAGATAAATCTTCAAAAACTAATATTTTGAAAACGGTACAACACGATAATCGATACGACGTACATCGATAACGGATAACTGATACCGTCTACCAAAACAATAATAATATGAACGGCGGTCGGTGAGACATGTCTCATAGCGCAACGATAAACCCCCGCCGTTTTCCATTTCCCCCTGCATACCGCGCCCGGCAAAAGAGACAATTTTGAAATTGTCTCATTTATTTTTATACTAAATTTGGATAGACCCGGCGGCCGGCAGCGCGACCGCTCGCTGATCTGTGTCCACAACTACTCTATTCTAAGAATACTATTACAAAAAAAGTATACTTTTTCATTAAAATTGGTTAAAACATTTTTATACACATAAAATAAAACCAAATTTTTTGTCCGTACTATAAGTGGGTAGACATTGTCTCTTTGTCTTCTATGACGCTTCGCCACTGCATTTACATAATACTAGATCAAACTAGATAGTTTTTATTTTATTATTCAAGAATATTTCGACCAGAACTTCAGTCTGGAATGTAGTGATGTGAAATTATGACAATTTAAATGAATACAAATTGTTCTAACAAATGTGTAGTTATTGAAAATTTTTCTCACCCGAATCCTTTCCCAGCAGATTCACTTTGAGGACTTTTTGGGGCTGTAGAGATCATATTATTATGCGATGGATAATTCAGTCAGTTTGGAAGTTGACCACTTTTCGACACGAGTTGCAATCGAACGGCTGTATTTTGTTCAAACCTATTACCGACTCGAAATTCCAATTTTTATCCGTTTGACGTTTCCCGTGAACAGTTTGACAATTATAAAATCGTTATTAGATTGATATTATATTATGAGGCAATATGGCAATTATATCATCAAATGTTTATAACGTGTTACTAATTCGTCCGGACGTGTTACACCATGCGCACATAATATATTAACTCCTTATTGTTTTCACTATTCATGAATTATGAAAAACATAAAAATATTGATCGTTTTTTGATTGAGGTACCGACGCCTTTTTAGTTATCTGTTTTGTTGACGATAACGCCGTTGTCTATCAGAGACTGATAGTAGAGACTACTGTTAACCGCGTTTCAATATTTACCTTCACCACGTTCTACCTCCAGCCGACCATCGCAGACCGCGGACGCCACTGTTATCACATTGTTACACAATATCTTTTATCATATTTTAGAAGTACAGAAAAAGTTCTAAAAATCTAAGCATACTGCAGTCTACACAGACTATACTATTAAAACATTTTCTTATAGGTAGCTGTGCCCCGTGGATTAATAAATGAACTGACCACACGCTCCGTATAGCGTTAAAGACTCTAGCTGGTACTGATTAGACTATTCTATGTTAGTACTCAGTGCACTCTGTATGTATCATTCATCACGAGTCGCACAGTATTTGTTCATAATAAGGTAGTGATAATTTAGTTTTCTTTAAAAGTTGTTGTTCGTTGTGCGTTTACATAATATTATCAAAAAACATTCCAGATCAGTGATGGTCTTGAAGTAGCCGTGTAATTGTAAGTACCGATATTAACATTATCATCAATCACAATTTACACCTGTTGTATTTATTTTATTTATAAATTACAGTTTACGGTTTTAATTAGGATTACCGTTCAGCCATCAAGCGTTCATACTCGGCAACAATGCTCATACAGTCGTGTACCCTTATATCGCAAGAAAACTCTCGGAAAACAATTGATTCGTTCGTTATAACTGTAAAACAAAATTTGTGAATTATCATTAAATAATATTAACAATTTTAATCTATCTATTTATATAAGCTTTAAACATTGAATACTTACTATGTTAACTTATGATTAGTTACACTTACTGAAATGTATTGGTCAAATCAATTTCTGTCCATATCAGGGCTAACAATTCAGTTTCTTTTCTTTAACTGTTTAAACGGATCTCTTGAGAAATTATCGTACTATAGAATTCAGTATTGAGGGGTCTAGTACATAGTATAAGAACAAAAAATTAAAATTTTCTTAACTCCAATGTTAATATAATAGTTAAATAATAGTAGTTAGCTATTAAAAAAAGAAAAAAAACATTATTATTGAATAGAATGTCATTTTTTTTTTATATTGTTTAATACCTTGTTAGAAACCGTAAAATATCAGTATAGTAAATATCAAGCACCGAATCTAAACTCCAATGCACTGTTATGACTATCACAAGTAATAAAAAGTTGTATAATATTATCATAGTTTGTGTTAACTTATAATAATATAATCAAATTAATGTAAGTACGTAATCATAATATGTAACACTGTTCAATCATTCAACTAATTACCAATGGTTTGTTTCATTTATGTTAAATAGTAAAAATGATAGAAACAATAAAATAAAGTAGAAACTTCTAACGCATTCCTATGGATAGAAAAAAAATTATTGAAAAAAAAAATACAGTATAAATATCTTTACTATTGAATATAATTAATATTGTTTATCTGGGTCATGGAATATAAGTAATAAATATTATATAACCTTATATGGTATTATAAGTGTACACTGAAGAAATCATGAGTAATATTTAAGTTGTTTAATACAAGGACCAATTACGTCTGTAACCTAGATTGTATCGTATATAAGACATAGTATTAAGGTGTTGGGTTTACCATTCTATTACGGCTGCTGTTATAATTGAAACGTACGTTGTATATATATATTATTCTCTATACTGTGTGTGTTTTTATATTTAATAGTATTGTGTTAAACATATTATTGTTGTGTTTTATTTTCTACTTAAATACTAACTTCCACCAAGATATACAGGCGTATATCGCAATAGGTTATTGGCCCAGACACATAGTCTCAGGCACAACAGTGAAGCATCAGAAGACTAAGTATTTTATGTAGTTAAAATTCACTTATTCCAATTGTTCAGTAAGTACCATTTTTAAGTACGTTATTTTTTAACTATGGACGAGTCACTGAAGATTACAAAGCTGAGTAACTCGGAAGGCTGGACACTTTGGAAGTTTCAAATGAAGGTAATAATTAATTCATTTGAGATAAGCGGTATAATTACAGGAGATTATAAAAAGCCAGTATATACAATAGCAACCTCCGAGAAAGAAGAGGATGCCAAGAAAAGGTTTCAGTTAGAACGAATAGCGTGGTCAAGGGCTGATAGTAAATGTCAAAGATTAATCGTCACGTCATTGGAAAATGGACCGTTACAATATTTGCTAAATTGTAGTACAGCATATGATATGGGGAACAAATTATTAAGTATCTACGAGCAAAAATCTGAAGCAGGTATACATTTATTACAAAATAAATTTTTCAGTTATGTAAAAGAGCCTACAGATGACATTTCGACGCATATCAGCAAACTACAGAATCTTCAAAACCAACTCGCTCTATCGGGAGAGAAAATCTCTGACAATATGTTGCTAACTAAAATTCTTATGACTTTACCGCCATCTTATAAACATTTTTACAGTGCATGGGACAGTGTACCTCAAGCAAGTAAAAATTTAAATGAACTTACATCTCGGTTGTTAATAGAAGAATCGAGAATGTCTCAAGGAGGTTCAGAAGTTGAAGCAGAGGAATCCAATGCTTTGACTGTCAAAAGATTTCAAAAGAAAATTTTTAAGAAGAATGGTGGTAATGTTGGTAATGAACGTAATTTTAGTAATAATAATACTAAAAAGATAGGTCCCTGTTTTTGGTGCAAGAAACTAGGTCATCTCAAGAAAGACTGCAAGAAGTATCAAAAGTACCAGAAGGATCAGGGTGAGGCGAAATCAGATTCGCCAAGTACAAGTTTAACAGGTCAAGCGTTCTATAGTGAATCTTTGGTTACTGATCGCAAAGAGAATCAATGGTATTTGGATTCAGGAGCTACTGAACACATGACAAGCAACAGAGAGTGGTTTGTGAACTATAAAAAATTCAGGTCGCCAGTGGAAATAAGGATTGGCGATGGTACAAATTTACAGGCAGAAGGTTCGGGTAATATAAACATAATATGTTATGTGGGAAATAACATGAATACAAATTATTTGTCTAATGTGTTATATGTACCAAATTTAAAGTATAATTTATTTAGTACGGGCAAAGCATTAGATAAAGGTTTGAAATTGGAATCAGATAGTAAAAAGTGTATTTTTTTGAAAAACAATAAGGTCGTTTGCACTGGTGAACGCAAAAACGGGTTATACAATATGAACATTGAGATTGTACAGCAAATAGCCGACGACATGACATTGACCGAGCAAGGTAACGGACAAATGGAAGTGAATGCGGCAATCGCGGATTCCATTCAACTTTGGCATGAACGACTTGGGCATCAATGTAAACAGTACGTAAAATCTTGTTTGCTAAAACATAATATAAATGTAAGCGGTGATTGGAACCAGTTTTTCTGCGGTGATTGTGTTATTGGGAAGCAAACGAGAAAGCCATTTAAGAGTCGTTCGACTACATCGGGTAAAACCGGAGAGTTAATTTATGCAGATTTATGCGGACCGTTTGAAAAAATTTCTCTGGGCGGGTCCCAATATTTTTTATTGTTCAAGGATGATTACACACATTATCGGACGGTCTTTTACTTGAAAAATAAAAATGAGGTCAAAAATAAATTAGAGTTATTTATAAGATCTGTTAAAAATGATTCTGGGAATAAAGTAAAAGCTTTAAGAAGTGATAATGTTTTAGAGTTTGTTTCTAAAGAAGTAACAAGTATTTTGCAGAAATATGGCATTCGACATGAAAAAACAATAGCGTACACACCAGAGCAAAATTCTGGGGCGAAACGTGAAATGAGAACTATTGTAGAAGCAGCACGAACATTACTTCATTCAAAGAAGATGGACTTATCATTTTGGGCAGAAGCAGTTAATACATCAGTGTATGTACTCAATCTTACTGGTAAGAGTACTGTTGAAGGTAAAAGTCCATATGAGCTTTATTTTAACAAAGAACCAGATATAAGACATTTAAGGGTATTTGGAACAGAAATGTATGTTCATATTCCAAAGGCCAAGAGACGAAAATGGGACGCTAAAAGTAAATTGTGTATTTTTGTCGGGTATTCTTTAGATAAACGTGGGTATAGGGCTTATTGTCCAAAAACTAAAACTATAAGAGATTATAGAGATGTTGTGTTTAAAAAAGAAATAAATACTAATGAATTAACATTTAGCGAAAGTGTAAGTCAAGATTATAATGTCGACGAGGAAACATCACAGGCGGTAGAGGTACAACCAGAAAAACAACTAGAAGTCACGCCAACAGAACTACCAAGTTACATTCTTCGCGATCGAGGTCAATTGCGTAAACCGGCCAGATATGCATGTATTACGTCGTGTATTACAGAACCGATTAACTATAAAGAAGCTGTGAGCTGTCAGAATAAAAATGATTGGATTTTAGCAATGGACGACGAGATAAATTCATTGCATACTAATGACACCTGGACGTTGGTGCCAACTCCAGAAGGAAAGCAAGTATTAAATAATTCATGGGTTTACAAAATCAAGTACAATGGTAACGGGCAGGTTGATCGATTTAAGGCTCGATTAGTTGTTAACGGGTCTCGACAGATACATGGGATAAATTATAACGAAACATTTTCACCTGTAGTTAGATTTGAATCTATTAGAACAATTTTAGCCATTAGTGCGGCTCAGAAACTGGAATTATGCCAATTTGACATTCGTACAGCTATCTATATGGTATGTTAGATGACGAACTGTATATGGAACAACCGATCGGATATGACGACAATTCTGGACGGGTCTGCAAATTACGTAAGTCGTTATATGGATTAAAACAATCTCCCCGGTGTTGGAATACACGGTTTAAGAATTTCCTTTTACAATTCAATTTAAATCAAAGTAAATATGATTCGTGTGTTTTCACTAATCATGATAATAATGAAAAATTGATTTTAGCTATTTTTGTTGATGATGGTCTTATTGCGTCAGTCAATAAAACAAAAATACAGGTATTATTGTCTAAATTAGAAAAA